TTAATTGGATCTAATTGGGTCTCCTCGTAGAACTCGAGGGAAATTAAATCATCCAGTTCTACGGATTCTTCAGAGAACCCACCGAAACGCAAGTGAAATCGACCCGACAGACGCTCGATAATGACGCTTACACTCCCAAATAACACCACAGACAGCAGCAACTCCAAAAAAAAAAGACTCACCTCTGATGCTGAGTCGGAACGTAACCGACATACGCGAGCTCCTTGACGTTAAGAGAGGTGAGATGACCCGGAGACGACCCCGAGACCCAAGTCCCTTCGTCCAACACGAGCCTCCCGTCTTGCCGATACCTCTGAGCCCTGACCCGATGCCAGGTGCCAGGCTTCACCCGTTCGGGGCTCTTGATCCTCACCGATCCGCTTCCGAGGTCGTAGCGGAGTTCCACGTGCCTGCGAGAGATGCTGGATATTCGAGACAAAGGGGGCGGAAATTAATGTTTAATGCGGTCTTTGTACCCGTCGATGAGGGACAGCGCCAGGAAATCCCCGGTTCCGTCTTCGCTCCCTTGGTCGTAAAATAGGACTCCATTGTGGGCGAAGCTCTTCAACTCCATCTCCAGATGCAGACTCAGATCTCCTTTGAGCGGGGGGAATGCCAAATACGAGCGACCCGAGAATCCCGGCCAGTCCACCTCGTTCGAGATCGCGTCGCCTCCTTCGCGAGAAAAAATTGCCAGGTGAAAAAATTGCAAGGTGAAAAAATCTCGAATTGCGGAAAGAAAAAATGGAATCCAGCAATTCCGCGTTCCGCCTACGACTCCAATAAGGCTCTCTCGAGTTCATCGAAGCATAAAATAACAGAAGGCGAAGGCCTTCGAAGGCCTTCGAAGGCCGGGGAGCGCGCAAGCACGCTTCCATGCTCGAGGATATGGACTATCGATTCGCGGTTCGGTCCATTTCCGGAAGGCCTCTTAATGTTCGAGGAAGGCTTCGCGATTAGAGAAGTTGGCTTTTGCCTTTGTTTCGGATACCTGGAAGGCATCCTCTCCCCATTTCCCTCGCCCCGCTTCCCTCACCCCACTTCCCTCTCCCCATGCACCGTTCCCCGATCGATCTCCCCGAATGAATCAATTCGGAAGGAAAATAAACGGACTGAGGACGCATTCGGCGCCGTCCGGCGTCTGGACGCGATCGACGGCGCAGGCGCAGCGATTGCTGAAGCAGGTGGAGCCCTGGACGGAGCAATCCCGGTCGGAAAAGCAGGTGGAATTCAGGCCGTGTCCCCTCGCGTAGATGAGAAGATGCCGGGTCGACTTCAAGGCCTGGGGTTCGGTCGACTTCGAGGCCTGGGGCTCGTTCTGGATCCAGGTCATCTCGCGGGCGCTGCGTCTCTCCGGCTGCTCCGTGATCGGATCTGAAG